TAGCCCCTGTCCAATCCTGACTCAAATTATAGACCACAATTTGCCCTTTTCAAAATGGTGCGACAGAACCCAATAAAAACAAGGAAAATCTTTCTACATGACAGAACCTCATTTTAAATAGCATAGTTTTTTGAGGATTTTTTTAAGATTTTCACCTATGGACAGGTACATACACCGGCTACGCGACAGAAACTCCTTCTGAACAGCCTTCGGCCGGGGATTTACAACATTCTCCTATGGACAGGCACCAACATTGGCTACCCGACAAAATCTCTGGAAAAAATTCAGAAGAATCTGATCGTTTTTACTAAACTAGAGTTAAGCCAAAAGATGGAAATACATTTTAGAAATCTGCACTTTAACCGCCTCTAATATTTGTGAACTTTAAAAAGCATGGGAAAATACAAAGCTCCCAACGGAACTTTGTAGGCTCACGTCTCAGGAAATATGGATTTCCGCAAGAAAAAGAGTGTATGTTTTGTAATCATTACTTTATAAGGATAATCGATTTGTTCTTATAAACGGATTATGTATTTTATAAATAAGTTCTGTCTTCTTTAAATGTCCACAATGTTATGCTGTAGGGTACCGAATACAAATCCAATTGGTTTTCCCTTTGCTACAATTTTCCTTAAAAAACCAACCCCACCATTAGGTTTTGTTTGTCATGTATGTCTCTTGAATGCTTGGAACAATTCCAACAAACAAAACATTCCCGCCAACTACAAAAATTCTTCCACTCTCTCTCGGTCTCTCTCACGTTCACTATCTTTGTATCTATCTCACAGATAGTTTTTTATATATATATTCTCTTCTAGGTACTTACAATAGGTAGGTAGATAGATACGTTTGTACGAATGTGTGTTGGATTTTGGAAGCTGCAATTTTAGCTGTTGATTCACACTCACTGTTTTAATTATTCGAAATATTTTTGGGTGGGGAACTTATTTTTATTTCACTGATCTATTTTTTAAATTTCTTTATCTTTTCTATTTAAATTTTCATAACTACATTTGTTCAAATATTTGTTTTCTTTGTAGTTCAACACAAAATATTTCAACAAATTAAATTTGTGTACACTTTTGAGAGAGTGTATATCTTTTTTTTCGTTTTCTTGTTCTATCCATAAACAGCTGTTATCTATGACATTTCTAATTAGAAATAGATAAGGGCTGTGTCAATCGAATTTCGGAGTAATCGAAAATCGAGATTTGTAGTAGGTTTGTCTGGTTGCGTTTTCATTGACATTTAATAGAACCCAATAATGGTTCTGTTCCCGTACTGCAAGAATCTACTAGATTTTACTATTTTTTCCGATGTCATAAAAAAAATTCGTTATCGTAGTAAAAAGTAGTAGATTCTAGCAGTAAGGGGACAGAACATATGTTTTCAGCATAAAGAAAATTAAAATTTAAAAATAAAAAAGAGTTCTTTGCATTTTAGACCATGCCATGGTATAATAATAGAAGGTAACAGCAAGTGTTGTTGTACAACAAACGATACAACAACCACATGGAAATTTGTTGTTGTAAGTTATACTAGTGTCAACGTAATTTGACAGAAAAATGTAAACAAACAAACAAATTATGAACAAACTATATTTATTTTGAAAATGTAATTGGTTGGAGTTTTCAATATCATAAAGGAAAAAATGTTTTCGTAGTAAAAAATAGTATATTCTTGCAGTACGGGAACAGACCAAATATTTTCGAATCCTCAACATAAATGGTCTATTCCCGTACTGCAAGAATCTACTACTTTTTACTACGATAACGAATTTTTCCTTTATGTTATCGAAAAAATAATTAAATCTAGTAGATTCTTGCAGTACGGGAACAGACCAAAAATTGAAAAACATGAATGAAAATCTATCAAATTTATATTTCTATCGCTTCCACATCTTTCCTATAATTGAGGCATTGCCACTTATGATAGGAATTGCGAGTTATTCTATGAAGAAAGATTTGCTTCCTCAAACATTTCCAGCAGGCAGATTGAGTAAATTGAATATATTTATTATACATGTAATAAAGAACAATTTCGAATTGTATGCGTTTCCAATTTTTCTGATGGGTGGTTTTTAAAAACATAATTTGTCATATTCATATTTCATTGACACTAGTATTACATTCGAATCAAATCAGCTGGGTTTTGCTGTTACCTTTTATAATTGTACCATGAGACCATGATAAAATTAGAAAAGAATGATACCTTAGTATGATACCTTATTTACATTGAAATCGGACAGGTATATGGAAACACTATTTTAATTCGATCGGATTTATAGCAAATTATATTATTGCTAGACATTGGTAGCACATGCTAACGATTGGGCAGACAGACACTTCGAAATATTCAAAGGCGAAACAATATTTTTCTCGCTGCAAATTGAGGTTTTCGATTCTCATTGGGTAGCAACTCATCGAACTATAACTCCGTTTCCACGCCAGTGGGGTTTTCACATAAGGTGTGTACTACAACAACAACAATTGTAATTTGTAATTTTTATATACGTTCAAGTTGGCATAACCCAAATAAAAGAAAGTACCAAGCCATTATAGGTACTTTGAGGGTTTTAGCTCCAAAGTGCATGTAATTTTCCATTCCAGATTCCTGGTGAATGAGATAGCTCTCCAGAAAGGCCCTGCACAATTTTCTGTACGATGAAGTTACTAGCCCAGGTTTCCAACCGGAGTGTCTTTATTTGGTACAACTTCTTTGTTCCAAATAAACAACATTTTTTAAATGAATTCACACTAAATGGTAAATGGTATAAAAAGTTAGGCCCGCACGAATTTTACTTGCTAAAGTTCTCTTAGAGAATATATTTGAAGACGCTGAAAATGAAAATTTTTACCCTCAGACTAATGGCTAATGAGGGTATGGTCCACTCCTTCTGGTACCTCCCCCACAAAATGATAAAAATGTTGCTGAAAATATGGTCCGTTGGTCCACTCCTTCTGGTACATACCCCACAAAGTGTCAAAATTTTGAAATTTTGTTAATCCAATATCAAGCGAATTGAATATCCATTGTAATTCAAATTGGCACATCGTAACAAATCGTTCAAGATGGGGAAAATCGGACCACTCCTTCTGAGCTGAAAATGTATTTTATAATAGCATGCGGAAAGAACATCCGATTCTAACCAAACTGTATACAACCTAATATTTTAATCATGTCTGTTCATTTTTGGGAGATGAGAATTATCGGTCAAATGTGGAGCGAACGGAATATCCGATTTCATCAAAACTTTGTAGATTGTAATATGTAGATTGTAATTGTAAAAACGAAAGATGAGAACCATCGGTCCATTCCTTCTGGTTCCTCCCACACAAAAGGTCATCATTTTGAAAATTTATTAATCTTGTAATACTAATCGTATGGAATACGCACATGGTAATATGGAATAAGATCGAAGATGGGACCAATCGCTCCACTGCTTCTGCTGCATCCCCACAAAAAGATCAAACATTTGCTCAAAATTTATTTTATAATGTCAAGCTAGCGGACTATCCAATTAGAACTAAACTGAAAAACTGAAAAATGGTGCTTATCGGCCCACTTTTGTTAAAACATATGAAGCGAACCATATATCCAATTTTATCGGAACATTGCACTATGTAATGGATGGATTATTTCCGAAGATGAAACCCGTCGATCTACTCTTTCTGGTACCTCCCACCCATTGTTAACATTTTTTTTAATTTTTTAACTGTTCCATTTGGGAACAGTCTAGTTTAGGGCCCCTCGCGGATCGTTTTAAAATTTGTAACACATATAGTCCCTGGGACCCCGATTACAACGGTATAATTTTTGTCTTTTGTGGTAATCGTTATTTCGAAGATATTTGAAGCACACAAAGTTCCGTTGGGATCCTTGTATTTTCCCATGATTTCTTAAAAATCACTTTGAATACAAGGGTCCCAATGGGACTTTGTGTGGCTCACGGAACTTTGGAGGCACATATCTTCTAGAGCTTGTAGAAGTTAATGGATATTTTAAAAGCCAAATAATTAAATGTTTGTAATCAAAGCATGAAAGCATTCAAACAAAAGTAGAACTCATTTCAAAATTTTTTACACTGAGATTGCTTCGAGGTTTGAGTACTCTTACTTTCAGAAATAGTTGATGCTACTATAAGCGGAATATATATAAGGATTACTCTCTATTTTATTATAGAAATAGCATACGGAAAGTCAATGACCTATTGAACATAACAGAGTGCCACTCACGAATGTTGAGGGGACTTCTTCACATTTTCAGTTTCAAAAAAATATTTACTGCTTTTACTTAATTTGGATGTACAACTGTTTAACAATGTTCAAAATTTTCAATGATTCTTAAAGATAAAGCCGAGTTAGCGCCTATCAAAACATTAAAAGCATTTGCCACAAATCGATTTAATTTGTATTAAGAACTGGGATAAATCCGAAGGATGAAAAATATTTTAGTTAAATTAATTAATGGTCCGCTTTTTTATCGTTAATTTGTAGGCTCTAATAATCATTTTGGTTCATACTAAAACCAAACGCTTCGTTAGCCCATAAGATTCGTTTCCCTAAAGCGTAAAAAAAGATCTTGAATATTCTTTTGAGCATTTAAAATGTATGAAAATGTTCATTATTTTTTTAAAGAATAGTTTCATTTACCAGGCCCATTGAAGGTTATCCAAATTTGAAATCGTAAAGTCTGCTCCTTAATACACAGACTTATATAAGCTTCATAAATGGTTTGAGCTTTAGTTATTAATAAAACCGTCTCATTAATTCCTTTCACATACCATTAAGTATTATAATTTATCTTTAGTCTATTGATTCTCCACAGAGTTCTCCAAAAAAGTAAACACACTCTCTCCTGATGCCTCTGGCTAATAAATAGCATAACAACTTTTGTTTGGCTTTTCTTTTTTTCAGTTTTTTATTGACCACAAAAATATCTCATTCCCCCAAAAACAGGGAACCTCCATATAATGCACTCCAATTTTGAACGTGAACTAAAATATCTAGTTTCTACGGTTGTATGTGTTGGTAGAGGGATTTGTCAATTGAAGACCACGGATGTTGTGGAAGTCCAACAACTTCAACATCTCCTTGGTATCAGGATCGACTTCAATGATATCTTGTTCCAAAGCAGAAACAGCGGGAACATAGTTATCACGACGTTCACGTTCTTCTTCTTGCAATTTGATGGAAATACCACGCACTTGAGAGTGGCGGAGACGGCCCATCAAATGGGTAACATAACTGGAAAACAAAACAAACAAAATCATGTTTAATACGGAGGTATATCTCAAATATTTCATTACTTACCCGGCAATCTTGTTTCTCAAGGGCTTGGTTGGGATAATGGCGACTTCTTCACAGATACGCTTGTTGGTATGGAAATCCGAAGTCAAGCGGGTGTAGTATTTCTCAATGATGACCTTGGCGGCCTTCTTGATAGTCTTGGTTCTTACACGACCCTTTGGTTGTTAGGAAAATCAAAAAGCACAACATCATTTAAAAATAAAAACATCGGGGACGACGACGACAGCCATTGCAAGCGAGCAAGTTGGGGTGTTGAAAAGGAAAACAAAGAAAATTAGTTTTTTTGTTTATCACTTGATTTTCATCTTTTCGTTTTGTTCGTTTTATGAAATTTCAACAACACTTGATTTCTATTTCAATTCTATTTATTTTTCATTTAGAATTTTGCACAAAATTATTTGGATGTTATTAAATTTTCACGATTTCTATAAATATTTTCTAAAAACGACACCTACCATGGCGGAAGATTTTACCGGAAAAGAACAGCAAAAAATTAACTTTCAATGAATGTCATTTTGACAGCTGTCATTTTGTTGATTCTCATAGCATGCAGCTTTTGTCAGCAACAGGGGTGAGAGCTGTGTTTAGTGAGCACTAAATTGACTTAACGTTTAATAAATGATTAGATATATAAACATATTTAATTAGTATTTATTTTAATTAAGCGAGGTAATACGAATTATTATATTCGTGCATGGTACACTCATACAAGGTAGGCTACAGCAACTTACAATTAAAATTGTTTGTTGTTGTGGCTTATGTTTTGAATTTATATATACAACGTTTGATATATTCATTTTATAAGATCCATAGGAAAGAAATTAAAAATTTTTTGAACAAGAATCAGTATAAAATGTTTATTTCGATTCTGTGAAGAAAACCCGACGCTACATTAATTTTTCAGGTTTTTAGTACATCGTAAAAAATATGCCAAAAGATTACAACGACAGTTTGAATTTTTATTTAATTATTTACTCTGACATAACAAGCCTCAAGGTAGAGGTGTATTTTTTCTTTGTTGACAAAAGCTGTCCTGCCTCGTATAATTGTCTACATTTCTATTCCAGAACCTGCAGAAGTCTACTAATATTTCAAGTTTTGCTACTTTTTACGTTCCTCAACCGTTCCTTAACCCACAAAACTGTTAAAACTTTCAACAAAATTTAAGAGAACACAATACAAAATGGATTTCTCTTTGTAAACGTTGTACTCGAGAAATATTCATACCTACGGGGAGAAAAGCTGAATGCTTTCAGACATGGAAGTAAAATAATATTTACTGCGTATCTCTTTTGGGGTGAGTCTCCGAGAAAATGCCAGAGTGTCTATGATCCCAACATCGATGAACCGAGAATGGCGCCCCTAAATATCCAATAGGACTGCTACAACAACTAAAGCGTCTGCGCCGAAGAAATCTCCGACAAAAATATCTTCCGGACAGCGCTTAATTTCTGCAACCGGTTTATCGAAAGGGATATGTACTCTGATTAAGAGGAACCTCAAATTTATTGATAAGTTCTCTCGAAACTATCACAATGACAATGCGAGGGAATTCTCGCGTGTGAAGAGAGAAGAAATGATGGCTGGAATTTCTTATCAATAAGAACCCTCCAAGAAGTCTCTAAATGTTGATAAATACCCGAAAGAGGGTAAGGTAGTGTCGAAGACGACCAAGGGTAAGGTAGTGTCGAAGCCGACGAAGGCGAACCCGCAAAAGTTATCCAGAAAGGCGGCTAGGATACAATCCCTGTCCGAGCAATAACACAAACCTGAAAACCTGCCTAGTTCCAAAATCGCCTTATTCACTTTCACTCGTTTAAATTTAACTATTCCCGATATTCCCTTGAACAATTTTAAAAGTTTTTGCACAATGCGTGTGAATTCTTAATCGAAAGAATTCCTACGTCGGGTGTGAAGGCGGCCTATGTTACTCCTCCAAAGAAGATGATGACAGGCAATCAGAACCCTCTAATGGGTCTCTGACATACTCTCCCACTGCAAAAGAGATTGAGGTAGTGTCGAAGTCGGCCAGAAGGAGAGCAAGCAGAAAGGCGGAGGGGGTTATATCTTATAACCGCCCTAGATCTTTCTGAGAATTTTCTCTCAAACACTCCAAAAGCTGCCTCATCTGCTTGCGTAAGAACCCACGGTTCCGATCCATAGTATAAGTTTCTTGTAGAGTGTGAGTTTGGACTGGCGGGAGGTGGCCTTCATTATGAAATTCCGTTCTCGGAATTTCAAAACTGATGTCATTAGTTTTATTTATGGCGGAACCAAGGTATATAAAATCCTTGACTACCTCGAAGCTGTAGTTCTCAAGTTCCTAAGTTAGTCTGAGTCTACTGGACGTCTTGCGCCTTGTAATCATCAGCTTGGTCTTCTCGCCGCTTACTGCCAGACCCACTTTGGCAGACTCCTTCTCGATTTGTTCAAAGGTGGCTGTAAGCGCATGCAATGTTCGACATTCCCTTTACAAATTTGAAAAGTTTTAGACCTTGTATATATAGAATATTTTTTGTGGGTGGACGGCCTTCGCTTGGAGATTTGAGACTCACCCTATGGAGAAATACGCGATTTTTCTGTCGATTCTTATGCGACAAAAAAAAAAAACCCCTCACACAAATTATCTGGACAGCAATGCTTTTTTTATTATTTTTGTAATTTTATTTTTTTACAATCTAATTTTTTTCTCTTTGTGTTGTTTTTATAATTTATGATTTAAATACGTTCTTAATAAAAATCGGTATATTGGAAATAAAATGATATTAAAACAAATAAAGGCAAAGAACAGTACAAAGTTTTAGGCGGCGGCGAATGTGTAATATTAATAATGTGACAAAAACAAAAATCTCCAAAATATATGGAATATATACTAAGTGAAAAGGCAAAGTGTTTGGGTTTTTTTTGAAAATATTTCTTTAAATAGTAAGGCGCGAAGAATTAAAATAGGGGAATAAAATAAAAATAACAGAACAGTTCAACTGTCCCGGAAGTATTAAAAAAAAACAATAATAATTTAAATATTTAAACAATTTTTGGCGGAAAGGGGTTTTAAAATAAATTCTTATTATAACGGGTAATTTAAGTGTAATCGAAATATTTTGAATTAGAAAAGATAAAAATAAATTAAAAATAGAAAGTATTATTTTTTTTGTTTTAGCGCTTTTGCAGATGATGTTTGTTGGTTTTGCTGATTTCTCTTATCTATATTTATGCTAAGCGCTTGATTTTTTTTGTTTGTTTCATTTTATAAACTTAAAGTAATCCCCACAATGGCTTGACATATTGCCTTTCATGGGGGAGGGAGAATTCTGGTTGTTGTCTTACACAATTCATAGAAATTAAGCTAACTAAATAGACTTTCAGTCGCTTTTTCCAAATCCCAATTCTCTTTTGACAATACGGCACGTGCATCATGTTCATCGATGCCCATATCCTTCAAGCGTTGAATTTTAGCATCACAGTCGGGATATTTGTGGGGGCCTGTAATTTGAAAAAAAAAATACAAAATTAGGTCTTCATATGAAAAATCAAAAAAAAAAAAAAAAAAATAAAATAAATTGATAAAATGGAAAGAAAAATAATCCCCATATATTATTACGAGATTGGTAATTATTAAAAAAATTGTGAACAATATCTCGAATAATTCAATATTCAGCTCAATACTTTATTTTATTTTTTAATGCTCTGTTTTAGAACATTAGTCATCTACTACTAATCGCCTATAGATTATGATATTTTTTCTATAACTATAATGTTTCTGTTTCAGAACAGAAATTACTTTCAAATGTTAATTTTTATATAATTCTACGGCTTTTTGTTCAATTCTTTTTGTAAAATAACTACTTGTTTTAAATTAAAATATTAAAAGTATAATTAACAAACCTCCAGCATATACATTTGTCCAGTGTCTAGCTGTCATAACAAACAGCTGATATTTATCCTTATATTGATAAGCAACGACAGCATCTTGTGGATCATCTGGTTCGGCAGCAGCCAATAGAGCCTGTAATGACAGCAGTACGGTACGTAATGTCATAGCAGCAGCCCTATAGAAACACAAAATAAATTAATTTGTTTTGTTTCAATACAACTTTACATACCAATTATCTTTTAAAATATCCAAACAAATGGCTCCGGTAACTGATGAGATATTTGGATGCCAAATTTTTGTTATAAAACGAACCTAAAATGTAAAACATTAGACAATTTTATCGTATTGTACAACTTTATAATTGTAACATACTTTTGGGGGATTAAAGGGATATGTTTCGGGAACTTTAATTTCCAAAACAAATTTGCCACCTTCATAGGGTGTATCTGGTGGACCAGCTATTTCTCCACGCAATTCAGTCCAACTGTCATTGATCAATTCAATTTTTATCGAACACTGGACAATCTGAAATACGATAAAATTATAATTAATAGAATGAAATTTATATAAACCTAAAATAGAATGAAACCTAATTTACAAATTTTCATTCTTTGTTAATTATATATTATAAAACATGAAAAATCGAAAATCGAGTAATTATTTTATAACGAATTATACTGATTTATTAGGAATTCTCTATACTTTGAAGGTATTTTTCAAATAAGACACGAGCTTATCTCAATAATTTGTCTCACGACCATCCAAAATGTTGACCATATATTATCGTCAGATAATATCACAGGAAAATTCTCAATCTAGGTTCTCTCAGAACTGGATATTCTCCCAAAAAAAGATAGAATGAGATTTCATCTTGATTTGTGTTGCATAGGGCTCATTTTCTTTTCCTATTTTCCAGGTTGAATCTTGACACATTAAATTAATCATTACACACATTGGCTTTAAAATCCATGAAATTTTTTCGCTATTATTGGAATCAGTAAAATTAATATTCATTCCCGAAAACATCATAAAATTGTATTGCCCTACATACAGATTGATAGACATTCCATTTCATTGGAATATTGACTTCTTTTTTTCCCAGGAAGTTTTTTCAGGGTCGGTTTATATCCTCCTTAACTGTCCGTTCTGTTTTCTACATGTTTTCAGCGAAGGTAATGCCTATTATTCGTCTTTTTTATTTCGTTTCCACTGTATGACCATTTCTCACATATACGTAATCGATCGCCATTTCGGAATATCAGTATTTCAGGTCGATATATCTTCCGAGAGTATTACCATGTCATCTGCATATAACAGCAATGCATATGGTTAATCTATAGTGAGAATAGACTAGGGGACATAAGGATTGCTTAACTCTCGTTTTGGTTTCAAAATAATCTGACAGTTCGTCTCCTATTCAAACTGTTAAGAAATTTGGATGATACTCGAGTTAACAAAATTTGTATGAAAGATTTTCTAAATACGTTGCCAAAAGGCGGCTTTAATGCCCACAAAGTGAAATAACCATTTCTGAACCCTTTTTGGTATTCGGCTAGAACTTGAAATCCTTCTACCTATTTACAGATCCGTTCATTTAGAATACCCATTATCTATTATCTATGATTGCAGTATTTAAATGTTGTGTAGTATCGCCTTTCTAGTTCTTTATGGAAATCTTCTGGATCATGAACAATGTGCTCATATGGAATTCTATACTTTCCAGGCGCTCTGTTTATCTTCACCTGCTTTAGGATAGTTTGCAATGCTCCCAAATAGTATGGAATCTGCATTGAAGAGCGGAGCTTAACATTAAAGAAAGTATAAGAAGCTAATAAGATGTATTAGGAGGAAGGTGGGAATAGTTTCAATGGCTATAGATTGGACAGAAAACATATTACGTGATAAGGTTGAACCAAAGCAGGTTATTTAGTTGAAAAGAAGCTTAGAAACGGTGGAAAGTGAGCACCCAGTAGTCTATGATATTACAGGATTTTATGAATTTAAGTGCCACCTGACTATCCACAAAGATAGTCAGTCTGCATCCAGACTTTTTATCAATTCCGCTGCCTTCCAAATAGCGAAGATTTTAGCTTGGAAAACACTACAGTTTCTATCCAGCTTGTGGGTAAGCTCAAGGCCTAATCTTTCACAGTAGACGCCAGCCCCTGCACCTTCTTCCAAATTGGATCCGTCTGTAGAAAAAAACCAGACCGTCCCGAGGAGGGTTCCTACGGTTCCAGTCGTCTCTACTAGGGATAATCGTCAAATCTTAGGACTAGTGATATATAGTCGCTTAGTTTTACGGATTGGTCCAATGTCATACCTAGTTTGTTCGTAATACATTTTGTGTATGCAGCCTTAGGGCACTACGCGCTGTCTGACACTTAATGCTGCTTCTCGTTACTCTTTGTGGCTCCTCTATTAAATTATTAATATAGAGCCAAGTTTCAGGTTCGCCCCCATATAACGGTATTCCCCAATATTCGGTATTTAGGACGCAGTGGGTAATGCGGTAATGTTTCGTAGTAGAACGTTTGGCAGTTAACAAAATAAAATCCAAAAGTAGATAAAGGTGTGATCTTTCAGAAAAAAAATAAAAATTGGTAGATTTCTTTTGAAAAGTCATCATGAAAACTTTACATTTTTGTTTCTGATTGCAACAGATTTCTTTTAAGTTTACCACTTGTGATTTTTTCAAGCACTCCTTTAACCTACATCCAAAAAATTATAAATAATGAAATGTATAGAATAATCATACATAGGATATAAAGTAGAGTGAATCATCATCAGGAAAATAACAAAACTCTCTCCCAAATAAAACTAAACTTTGTGCTAAGTAGCTACTACAAAACCAAGGGCAACAACATTCAATACTCGAAAAGTTAAAAAAAGATAATAAAACAAAATACTGAAACACATTTGTATAAACAAAATCAAAACAACAACAATCCCATTCGCATACACTTCATACACGCACACACACACAACAACACAAATGACAGCTGACAATTGGCAATGCCAAATATTTAGGTTAGGAACCCCCTTGCAAAAAGAAAAGGGCAAATCTAGCCACTATCTTTGACAAAAAGAAAAAAATACCAAATCATGTTACAAAATACCTTCTCCGAGATTTCTAAAATTACTTTACTATCGCCACTGCTACTTGTGGAACATTCCAATAAGAATTTGATAAAAATCGATGCCACAACAAAAGTTTACCTCTTCGCTGCGCATAACTTCCTTAAATTCGCGCTTTATACGCGATACAGCCATATTCACTGCCATGCTGATGGATGGTGGAGATACCTTTCTGTTTGTATTCTGGAAATTCGCAAACTATATTTGCGGTGGAGTTCCTCTTCGCCGTTCAAAGAAAGCAGCTTTTGACCCCAACAAAGATTATGCCTTTTTTTTTAAATTGCCTTTCTTTATTCGCACACAATTGTTTTTGTTTTATTCTTCTTTAGTTTCTTCTTCTACTTTTGTTCAACTACTGCTTGCTTTGAGGTTTATGCTTTTAATATGCCAATGCGACACACCACACACACACATACATGTACGCCAGGTTCTGCTCTCGCAAATAAGAACAAGAAAAAGTTTGCAAAAATTAGGCAAAATAAAAAACAGTCATTTGAAAATGTTCTCTTTGAGGAATTAATGTGGGCAGTTGTCAAACGTATATTTGTTTGTACGTAATATTTGTAGTCACAAAATTTATTGGAATAGTTGAAGATATATCACAAATCTATTTTAATTTATTTTATTTTGACGAATTTTGTCGAAGAAACAAAATTAATTTGTATTGTTTCTTGTTCGAGAATTTCACACAGTGATGTCAAATTTTCGATTTGAATCAGCACTATGTTATCGATGTTTTTTACACATATCGATTGGTGTGCAAATACAGTTGAGAGATGCCACATGCTTACATATTTTGCCGTTTATTGGGTGTCAATTCCCCAGTATTTTTTCACTTTCCACGTATTCCCAATACACACAGAAATTCTTTTCGAATTATCAAATTTCTTTCTTATAAAAAGTGTGAAAATATGTAAACATTGAAAATTCATTCATTATTGGTCTTTCTCGTACTGTAATAATTTATGGTCTCTTGCAGAACCTGCAAGAATGTACAATTTTTTACTACAATAACAATTTTTCCTTTATGAAATCGGAAAAATAGTAAACATTAGTAGATTATTGCAGTACGGGAACAGACCATTAAAAATTTGGTAAATTTTTTTTCGTAGTAAATGATCTGCAATAATCTACTAATTTTTACTATTTTATTTGATATCACAAAGGAAAAATTGTTATTGTAGTAAAAAATTGTATATTTCTGCAGGTTCTGGAGAAAATCTAATCCCACTTTACCTAAATACTACAGAACGATTAGCCTTTCTGACATTCAAATTAAGATAATAGAAAGGATTAGTAAATCACAAATTCATTTAGCTCTCAAGATCACAGGGATTTCCTCTCTCTCTTATTGGAATGGTATGCTGCTTATTGGTATGCTGAAAAGCAGAAACATCACTGCAAACATTGGGAAATGTTCCATAAGGAATACTTGGTATACATGAAATTCTTGTGAGTTTTGTCCACAAGATGTGGTTTGTGGTGATGTGTGTGTTTAACGACCAATTTTTACCAACATTATGCAATGTGCACTAGTGCTCCTAACAGGTTGGGCGCCACAAAATGGTCTTGAAGTCGGCCGCCTACTGTTTCCCCACAATCCCCACATTCCCACTGAATGTATATAAAAAACCTCGTCACTATCAGGTTGTATTAATAAGGTCATCCAGAGAGACAAGCTAGATATCAGCATGCTCTCAATTTTGCTGATATCCAGCAAAGTCCAAATTTTTGACATTAGACTTGAGAAAAAAAAAACAGCTTAATTTCGTTAGCTGGTTGACCTTATTAATAGATCTTGGTCGCTATCATTGAGCGTATATTGGTCTAATGACACTGTATTCTTGCAGGAACAAAATAGGTAAGAGTTGCGGACTGACACCATATTTCGTTCTCTCCGTAAGAGAACGTTTCTTTTTCCTAAATAAGTAGTGTAGTAGTGTTCCTTATGCTCCTAAATGCCTCAGACTATTGTTAACAAATGCATAAAGGGTGAAACACATACCGGGATTCAGGCCTGCTGCTTTTATATGCCTTTTGAGCTGGGGTATATTCATCCATTCTCACAACATGACCTTGCTGACTAAGCCGATGTCCGCAGATCGGTCCCCAGATCTTCCGGAGAATATTTCTCTAAATCATTCCAATAGCTTGCGCAAGAATGTGAGTTTGGTCTGGCGAGAGGTGGATTTCTTTTGAGTTGCTTGCTCAGACCATAGTAGCAGATGTTGGCCAACACCTTCTCCTCCGGATTTCGAAGCTGTAATTTTCAAGTTCCACAGTTGGTCCGAGTCTACTGGACGACTTACGCTTGGCCTTCTCGCGATTTACTGCCAATTCCACTTTTCGTTCAAAGGTGGCTGTTACCGCTGGCAATGTTCGACCCATTATGTCGATGTCGTCGGCGTAGGCGAGTAACATATGCTGTACAGAGTGCCATTTCTGTTCACATTTGTAGCAGGATGTTAAACAAATCACACGACAAACTGTCACCTTCTCCGTTCAGAACCTCGTTCAGACTGTCGAATGCGGCTTTATAGTCGACGAATATGTGGAGTGTGTCGATGTGTTTTTCGTGTCTCTTTTCCAGGATCTGGCGCAGAGTGAAGACTGCGAATGCGGCTTTATAGTTGACGAATATGTGGAATGTTTCGATGTGTTTTTCGTGTCTTTTCCAGGATCTGGCGCAGGTCAATGGTTTGCCAGGACTGAAGCCGCATTGGTATGTTCGAATAATGTCGTTGACCATTGGCTTCAGAACACTGGATAGCACTTTATATGCGATGGGAAGGAGACTTATTCCTCTATAGTTGGCACATATCGTATTGTCTCCTTTTTTTGTGAACGGGACACAGGATGCCGAGATTCCAATCATTGGGCATGCATTCCTTTAGCCAAATTGTACTAATCATGTTCATGTTCCTGGCCACCGGTCTTGAATAGTTCGGATGGTAATCCATTGGCAACTGCTGCTTTATTGTTCTTCAGTCGATGAATTGCTACTCTGACTTCATCTTGGCTAGGTGGTATACACCCTATTCCGTCATCTCTTATCGGTTCTGGGGTATCTTCTTTACCGCCACTGTTTGATACTAGAAGTTTTTTAAAAGGCTCCTTCCAGATTATCAACACGCTATATGCATCTGTCGCCAGGTTTCCATCTTCATCTCTACAGGAGGATGTGTCTACGCCAAAGCCTTCGGTTTGGTGTTTTACTCGTTGGTAAAATTTCCGGACTTTATTCTGACTCCTGTACATCTCGATTTGCTCCCGCTCTCGTTTTCTTGTTCTTTCTTCTTTTATCTGAAAATACGTTTCTCCTCATTACGACATTTCTGATCGGTTTCTTGATGATGGTTTTGGTACTCAAGTATTGCTTTTGCTGCAGTTTGTAGAGAGAGGGTAAGTTGAGCGTGGTAGGCTTCTGCTATATGTTGTGTTTGCAGCTTTTCGACGTCGAGTTACCGTGTTGTGTTAGATCGTACCTTTGCTGCTACATTAAGACGTGTGCAAACTTTGGCTGCCACAAGATAATGGTCCGAATCGATATTCGCTCCTCGTATCGATCGAACGACTAAAACACTGGATGAATGCCTTCCGCCTATCACAACATGATAAATTTGATTTCTCGTTGCTTGATGAGGAGAAATCCAGGTGGCCTTGTGTATATCGAGATGCTCCAATCTGGTACTGCTAACTACCATGTTATTTGCCATGGTCAATCAACCTCATGCCGTTGTCGGATGTTTCTCCGAGGAGTGTGTGACCTAAACTATTTTCCCTTCCCCCAAATAACGCGCCAACACTACTGAAATATGTTCCCTTCCAATTTTTTTTTAATCTCCAACAGATTTTAATGTCATGGCCAGGACAGCTGTCATATGCTGTTTCTAGGCCCTCGTAAAATATGTCTTTGGTCTTTGTCTTCCATCGGAGCATGGGCGCAAATAAGACTGATGTAGAACAACTTCACCTTTATACGGATTGTAGCAATTCGCTCATCTACTGGAGTGAATATGGAGACGAGGTCTTTTATTCTCCTATTAACCATAAATCCGCAGCCAATTTCATGTCTCGTTTCATGTCGGCTATATTACAGGGCGTAATTATCTGATTTACTTACGCTAGTCCCTTTTCATCGCATTTCCCGTAAGGCAATAATATCGGATTTGTACTTCCTGAGTACATCCGCCAATGCGAAAACTGCGCCTGTTTTGCACAACATGCGCACATTTCAAGTTCAGATTCACAGATCGTGGTTCTTTATACGTTTGCGTGGGTCGTAAATCTTGGGGGTGGGAGGTTGGTTTTCTTTTTCGTTGCTTTTTCATAGTAGGAGGGGTTTTTTTCGATTAGTAAAAACTATTAGATTCTTGCAGTACGGGAACAGACCAATTAATAGTTTTGAAATTTTTGCCATATTAATTCAAAATGTAAATCAATGTAAAAGGTCGGACAGCTTGAGATTAATGACAAAAAAAGCATAAAAGCAAAGGTAGTGGCTTCTTCTGTCAAATATAAAAAAATACACGCAACAGGTTGTTTCCGAAAACCCTAGACATATTTTTCGAGATCCATCCTCAGTCGATTCTTTTGTTATTACAACACGGATGAAAAATACTAAAGGGCGTATATGTTTCCCGTTTCTCATCTTTTTCTATTTTCCGTTGTACTCTTAAGTCAACACAGTTTTTCTGACAAGAAAGATTTGAGAAAAAATTGTAACATTCTTATCATTCTGTCAGGTAGTTACAATGTATACATATCTAGGGGTTACACACAGCATGATATGAATTACTAACAATAGAAATCAAAAAATAAGAAAGATTTTTTTCGGAATCTTGAAAAAAAATTCCCCTAATACTCAATAAAAACCAGGACTGCTAAGACAAATCACATGAAGGGTCTTCGTAAAGGTCAGAAATTCGTTAATTTCCTACGATTGTTGTTGTCGCATAAATATTTATGAGAATTTCTTTTTTCGTAAAGAATATATTTTTGTTTGTCGTCAACGGCTTCTTCAACATGGAGCATGTGTTTCGGGTAAAAAAAAAAACGGCCATACAAACAACTACAAAAAAAAAAACGGCCAGACAAACAACTACGAAAATGGAATGGAACTACGCAGGAGAGATAGTGCGCAATTTA